CTCATAACTCCTTTAATACTTAAATTATTTATTTATAATTCATTCCTCAGTGGTGACTAAATTTTCTCCGAAGAATGCTTATACTTTCTCACTTTCTGTAATATTCAATATTAGCCGCCTTCGGCGACTAGCTTGTTTGCCGGGAATATAATTTCAATTGAATATTGCAGCATTTTATATTCATGGTTGCCTTAAAAGCGTAAGCAAATCGTGTAGATATTTAACACATGTTCTTTTAGTGGCTTTGCACATGTTCTGCACATTGTCTACATAAATTTCATTAATGGTTTCAAATAAATGACTATGTTATATAACATCTATTTGCAAGTGGTCAGCGCCATCTTCGCTTTCTTATTCCTCTTGCAGATTGTGCATTTGATTTCAACATTCGAATGGCGCAACACATTTTATGGCCAGCTCCATGTTTGCTGAATAAAAACATACTGAAAAAAGAATAAAAACACAGCAGCCATAATCATTCGGCTTACTGGATGTATTTCTTCATATACTTAATATCTCAGAGAGCTTGGTTTACAGATTCCATAAAAACTTTCATGAAATAAAATATGAAAGCAAAATGTAATAGGATTTACCTTAGTTTTCAACAATGAAAGAGAAACACGCAGTTAAATTTTTGCTTAAACAATGAAAACGGTTTGAATTGCATTGTAACAATGAAAAGTATTGTTATAAATTATGTCAAAAAATATTTTTAAAGGTTATTAAAATTATAGGTAAAGGTAATAAACATCGTACTGCTAACTTTTTAAGAAGTTGTCAAAATAATCAAAGACTGAAAAAGAGTAGTCCCCTCGGTCATGCTTTGAAAATGGATGCATTGCATTCTCTTGTTGAGTTCAATTCGTTAAAACCTATTGCGTCTCCTTTTACTCTTTGCCTGGTGTCTTCTTCCATACAGAGTTATTGACTCACACTAATTATTCCTCCCAACATCCAGAATACTTAAGACAGGCTGCTCTCGAAGTGATCAATAATATACCTATTGAAGCTACTATGATTTACACTGTTGGCAGCAAGAATGAAAGTGGACATACAGGTAATGGGGTTTTTGTTAAGCATGGTCAGGGGGAAGCTTCTCTTCATGGATATATACTCTGATATGGCTTTATACTTTGTTTTGGAACATCAATTATTCGGTGAGATATGGATTCTGTCGGACAAAACCCAATACCTTGATAACACTGTACAACATGAAAAATGTCCTTTAGATGAAAATATGTGTTTCTTGTATATTTTTGGTTGAAAATAACGAATCTGCAATTATTTTTTGTTTACCACGCACCATTTTTCCAAAAATCCACATTTTAGCTCGAAAAATCCACAAAAAGCCACATTCATAAAAAGTGGCCTCCACCATTGCACATTAAACTCGGTTTGATGGAAATATTTGTAAAAGCTCTGGACAGAGAAGGAGTGGCTTTCTTGCATCTCAGAAACAAATTCAAATATTTAAGTGATGCAAAGGTAAAAGAAGGGATGTTTATTAGCCCACAAATTAAAGCAGTCTTTCGTGATGAAGAGTTTGAAAAAAAACTGTCAGAAGCAGAAAAAGCAGCCTGGCTGGCATTCAAATCAGTGTGCACACATTTCCTTGGAAATAAGAAAGCTGAAAACTATGAAGATCTTGTTGGTGACATGGTGAAATGCTTTCGTGTTATAGGTTGTAATATGTCATTAAAACTACACGTTTTCGACTCACATCTGAACTTCTTTCTTCAAAACCTTGGCGCAATTAGTGGTGAGCATGGGTAAAGATTTCACCAGGACATCTCTATTTTTGAAAAGCGTTTCAGTGGACGATGGAATCGAAGTATGCTAGCTGAATATTGCTGGTCTGTTATCAGGGACACACAATCAGATGCCCACAAGAGGAAACGGCCAAAAAAATCATTTTAGTGTTTGTGTTTTCTATAATCAAGCCTCTGTTATATTTTTCTGTAACCAATTTGTATAAATATGAGAAGTATATCTCCTACAAAAACGGTACGTGATGGACCATTTTGGTTTTGATATATGAATCAAGCACCTTTTGTTTATACAGAATCACATAGTTTCATACAAAGGACAGAAAAAAAGTTCAAATTTGTTGTACAGTGTAATTGGAGAGATGTTAGTGACCGGATGGGAATGGATATCTTTAACAAACTCAAGACCCTTTGCAATTCTTGTGTTCTTCATCTACAATGGATACTATCACATGTAAATTTAAAATATAACGATATTACTGATAGTCTTGCTAAAGAAGGTACTACCATGCCTCAGGCCTATGTAGAACCCTTGACCTACCTTGAGTTATACTCAAGAAGAAAGGCCTTTGTTAACATTTTTGGAGGCATCCACCAGCTCATTCATGGTATCGTAGTGAAGGCCCGGTGCTGCTATACATTTTAAGGGGGATAGGAAAGACCAAACAGCTTTAGCTCGCTTAACTTCCGGTCATTTAAAAACCCTCAGATTCTCTCGTGGTGATAAGAAGTTCAATATCTGCACGATGTGCAACATGAGTCCACTCCGCAACATCTACTTGACTGTGTTGCCTTGGTGTATGATTACCTGCTTAAGCGACCGGATTTCGTGTTAGAGGTAATGAATGCGAACGACCTCGTGGATCTGATCTGATTCAGATCAGAAGGATTAGAAAGAAGAAGAGGTAAAGGTTAAAATATTGTATGACAACTTAATCGATATCATTGAAAAGGTAATTTTTTGCACTTTCAGATGGCGTAAACATGATTTTTGTGCTGTAATATTTTCGGAAATTATTAAGGAAAAACGCCAAAATTTTGCTTAATTTCTTATTAATTAAAATTTCAAAAAAATGGCTTCGAGGTGTGCATTCCCATCCTCCAAAGAATGTTTGTGCCAAATTTCGTAGTTCTAGGTGCAGCGGTCTGTACTGTAAAGCGCCAACACATACACATTCTCCTTTATTATTAGTAGATACCAAGGGGCTCTGCCCCCTGCGCGCTCACGTTCGCCAACTCTCAAAGATGGTTACGAAAACACTTCCAGTTTCGCTCGTTACAATTTACACGCTGCGAATCCTAGTGTAATTATTTCAAAAATAAATAAATAAATAAAAACTTAATGGCTGAGCTTAATTAGTTGCTTCAACTTAAAGATAGCGTTATTTGGAGGTACAGTGCGTCGTATAAAACGCTATTTGCAACTACAATTCCATAGGAATAAACGTTATTTGCAGGTACGGTACACGCAGATGAAAGGTTAATTGCAGGTATAGTAGCAAGGGATAAAATGTTATTAACAGGTATTTTCCATTCTGTTAATTTGTAAACATATAATTAAAATAGTTTACACTATTTTAATAATATCAAAACTTAATTATCAGTTGATCCATTACCATATTTTATATCTGTGGCACCATCTGCTTGTAAATTTAAGGAAAAAATTTTGAAAAAATTAATATTTATTCTGAATTTCTATACAATTCAAAATTAAAGACAAAAATGTAGAAAATAGTTACAATGTAAAAAATTACTTTTAGTACACTAATTAAAGTTTTTTAAAAAACGATTTTTAGTCTTTTTTTTTAATTTATAACACTTGATTATTATTAACAGTTATTTTAAGATTGTCTGATAACAAACTATGTCAGAAAAAAGATGGAAATCAAATCAAATGCTGATTTTCACATTCATAAGTTTAAGGAAGTATCATCCGAAAGTTGAATTCTCCAAAATGTTAGTCATGTGGCAAAAAAAAAATTACGTACATAGCTCGTGACCAGCCGACATAAGAGCCAGTGCTTTTACCAATTCAGCCACATAAAATTCCGAGATAATACGTGAAGTAACACATTTTTTTTTAATTTTTTACTTCTCTGGTTAGTTAAAAAAATAACGACATTTAATTAAACATTTATTCAATGAAATTTTACATATAGGTTCTATGGCGTAAAAGCCATTTTTAGGTCGTGCTGCTCCAAACACATGATTGGAGTTTTACATTTTATCAGCTGGGTAATCATCAGAAATAACTAGACCATATGAACACACTGATTCTCAACATCAGCAAGGACATCGAGCATCTTAAAAAATATATATTTCAGTTTCCTGTGCGCCTTTCAAAACTTTCTTCATTATTCATTTTCACGTCGAATTCGACTTCTCTGATTATTTCGATAACATTTAACAGAACGACTGATATTCATGTTTAACGCATCGAAAAGTAGGCTTCAACTAAATCGCATTGTAGTTGTATACAGTTGCAAAGTGAAATCAAGTGACCCAGCGTTACGAAACCGTATATCTAAAAAACGCGTTTTTTAGGAGCCGAGTGACAGAAATATATATATATATTCAATTTCTAGGTGCCCACAGGACGAGTCACCATATCTCGGTGAAAGCAGCACTGATCTCCTAAACCAGGGGTCGTGAGTTCAATAATCAATGGTGGATTAATTTTCTCCGACGAATACTTTTGCTTCCTCCTTTTTGGTAAAATTCAATACAAATATTCACTTTCTCCCTACTCTCGACGACCAGCCGCCATAGCTCAGTGTATAGCGCACTGGTCGCGTAAACCTTAGGTCGTTAGTTCAATCCTCACTGGTGGCTTAATTTTATCCGACGAATACTTTTGCTTCCTCACTTATTGTAAAATTCAATACAAATATTCAATCTCTCTCACCCCATTCAGAACGAGCCGCCATAGCTCAGTGGTATGAGTACTGGTCTCGTAAACCAGGGGTCGTGAGTTCAATTCTCACTGGAGGCATAATTTTCTTCGTCGAATACTTTTACTTCCATACTTTCTGTAAAATTCAATACAAATATTCATTCTCCCCCTCAGATAGAGCCACCATAGCTCAATGGTAAGAGCACTCGTCTTGTAAACCAGGGGTCATGAGTTCAGTCTTCAAGGGTGGCTTAATTTTCTTACAAGAATACTTATATTTCCATGCTTTCTGTAAAATTCATTACAAATATATACACTCTTCGCCCCCCCCCCCCGGAGGAGCCACCATAGCTCACTGCTAAGAGCTCTGGTCTCGGAAATCAACGGTCGTGAGTTCAATCATTACTGGTGGCTTTATTTTCTCCGATGAATACTTTTATTTCCATATTTTATGTAAAAATAAATGCAAATATTTACTCCCCCCACACACACACAGGACAAACCGCCATATCTCATTGGCAAGAGCTCTGGTCTCGTAAACCAGGGGTCATGAGTTCAATCCTCACTGGTTTCTTAACTTTCTTCGAAAAATATTTTTACTTTCATACTTTCTGTAAAATTCAATGCAAATATTCACTCTCACCCCCCTTCCGGAGGAGCCACCGTGGCTCATGTGTAAGAGCACTGGTCTCAAAAACCAACGATCATGAGTTCCATCATTACAGGTGGTTTTATTTTCTCCGACGAATTCTTTTATTTCCATACTTTGCGTAATATTCAATACAAATATTTACCCCCCCCCCTCCCCACACACACACACAAAGGGCGAGCCACCATATCTCAGTGGGAAAAGCAATGGGCTCGTAAGCCAGTGGTCGTGAGTTCAATCCTCACTGGTGGCTTAATTATCTTCGAAGAATATTTTTATTTCCATACTTTCTGTAAAATTCAATACCAATATTTACCCCCACCCCCACAAAATGAGCCACCATAGCTCAGTGGTAAGAGCACTGGTCTCGTAAACCAGGGGTCGTGAGTTCAATCCTCACTGGTGGCTTACTTTTCTCCGACGAACATTTTTATTTCCACACTTTTTGTAAAAATCAATACACATATTCACTTTCCCCCCACATGTCGAGCCACCCTAGTTCAGTGGTAAGAGCACGTGAGTTCAATCAACACTGGTGGCTTGATTTTCTCTGATGAATACTTTTATTTCCATATTTTATGTAAAATTCAATACAAATGTTCTCCCTCCCCAGCCCCAAAGAGCTCAGTGGTAAGAGCACTGTTTCGTGTACCAGTGTTTGTAAGTTCAATCCTCTCTGGTGGCTTAATTTTTTTCGTTGAATACTTTTACTTCCATACTTTCTGTAAAATTCTGTACAAATATTCACTCTCTTCTCCCTCCCCCTGGACTAGCCACCATAGCTCACTGATAAGAGAAGAGCACTGGTTTCGGAATCCAAAGGTCGTGAGTTCAATCATTACTGGTGGCTTAATTTTCTCCGACGAATACTTTTATTTCCATACTTAGTGTAAAATTCAATACAAATATTCACTCTCCCCCCACTCACACACAGAACGAGCCACCATAACTCAGTGGTAAAAGCAGGTGAATTCAATCATTCACTGGTGGCATAATTTTCTCCGACTTTTTTTTCATACTTTCTGCAAAATTCAATAGAAATATTCACTTCCTCCCCCCTCCCGAGGTCGAGACTCCATAGCTCCGTGGTAAGAGCACTGTTCTCGCAAACCAGGGGACGTGAGTCCAATCTTCACTGGTTGCTTATTGTTCTTAGTTAACTTTTATTTCTCTCTTTTCATAAAATTCAAAACAAATATTTAATACTAGGGGACAAAATTAATACAGAATGAAGGGAAAAATTGTCTTCTGCGAAGATGTGTAAGAGTAAAATGAAAAAAAATGTATGATTTTCATGAATCTTCACCGTTTAAACGTAACTAAAACAAAAAAATTTAATTTAATAATAATAATTTTTGGAAAACACACTTTTATTAGGGTACTAAGAAGTAGAATCTATATAAATATTCCTCTCCCAAAAAACGCGTTATTTAGCTATAGAATGTACGATGTATCACGTGATTTTACCTTTCAAACGTAAATAATGTTTATACAGTTCGTTTCAAAAGTTTGTGCACAACAATAATTTTAAAATGAAACTTAAAAATATACACTCTGTTTTAAATCAGTGTTCGTCGTAATAAAATATAGAATTCAAATTATACTTGATACAATCATGCTTTAAACTTTATTTTCAACCATCGAATTTAACAAAAATGCGAAAATAGGTGTATCGAAAGTTTAAGCACTTGAGACATTTATATTTTACAGTAGAGTAAAGGTAAAATTTTAATCTTGATTACTATTCGTTTTTTATTGAATCACGTGAAATACATGTTTTTCCATCGATAACATTAAGTTCTGTATTAGTTATGGCTGTAGTTCAAACAAAACATCCTCAATAGCCAATTTCAGTACTTTAACTGAAGTATATTGCTTACTATTTTGATAAATTAATTTGTGAATTTACCTCACACGTTTTCTATGAAGTTCAAACCAGGACTTAGGGCTAGGCCACTCAAAACCGACCCCATATGGGAGCTAAGCCACTGTGACGTTGATTTGGAGGCATGTACTGAAGGGTTGTCGTATTGAAAAGTCAAATATGTTCCCCTAAAAATTTCAACAAATGGAAATAAATGGCTGGCAAGTGTCTCTTGTTAGTTTTCAGATTGTTTTCGACCCTGAGTGAGGCTAGGGATGTCTGACTATTGAAACAAACCACTGCCCATACCGTCGGAAATCCGCCACCATGTTGTCATCTAAAAATGCTTCTTAGTTCTTTTCGAAGATCGTGTGAATGGCATGCAATCCCATCTGGTCCATCCAATTCCATTCTTTTTTTCATCTCTGAGCATAACAATAAGCCTCACATCACCAAATTATATGTGCTGTTTGGCCTACTATAATCAAGCTTCTTTGTGGTGTGGTGTTAAGCCAGTTGATCGAGGCATCTTGAGGTTTTTCATATACCCCGATTCTAAAATTCTTCCATGAATAGTTTTTTCGATATTTGCCCATCAATGTTATTTTTAATTCGAGAAAGAGGAAAATTTCTAGTTGAAGCCTAGACTCTGATGTGTATCTCATCACGAGAGCTGGTTACTCGTGGCCTTCCAGAACGAGATTTTCGTTTAAAGTTTTTACCATAAGCTAATATTTGATAAATTCCCTGTTTTGATCCCTTTAAGGGGAGTCGGTACCCCCTATACCGCCAATGTTAAATTGAACATTTTCTAAGTACGTTTTCTCACAATCTATTAGAGATACATGTTTGAAATTTTTTATACAGTTTAAGTAGACATTTATCTCTATACTGAGGAGAAAATCTTGCATAAATATAGCTCTTTTTTTTTTTAATTTTAACTGAATGTCACTATGAATTTTCCAAAAATGCCATTTTCTAACACGAGATCAGCACTATTATGAAATATTTTTGAAATATCAGAACAAATTCCACATCAATATACATTTATATGTGTATAGAATATATGGTAAAAATCTCAAGAGCATATATAAAGTGGATTTTGAGGAAAAGGTACATACAGTTTCAACAAGTTAAAGATAAAAGTCTTGTGCTACATTAATCTGTTTAATTTTTTTCCATTCCTACTATTAGTTCACACTCTCCCTATATATATTTATTTATACATCTTGTTCAAAATTTCAATCGTTAATAAAATACTTTTTATTTATCCACTCAAGTTCAAATACATTTTTTTAAACTTGTAGTGGATGACACTTGATGTTAATACAGATTTTTCAAATATTAATTCATAAATTAAATTTAATTAATTAATTTTAGTTTTATATGGGAGAAAGCATATGTCGCCTTGAGTCGTTTGGTTCGAATTTTTCTCAATAGATGGAGCTAGGTTTGCCAGCTTCTAGACCTAATATTCTTTGTTTTCTGGTATGTTTACGAAGGCGTCATTTTTTCATGTATTTTTGTCAGTGACGAAGCGTGTAGATCGCTGACCTAAGTAGGAATTGACTTAATTTTTTTTTATATATTACTTGTTTAAAGTTTATTTTAACTTACTTTTAATATGAACACGAGCGAAGACATATATCGTTAGGAAGGTCATGAAATAAAGATTTCAAATATATAAAAATCAAAAATCAAATTTTTGAAAGTATATCGGGTACTGACTCCCCTTAAAGCAGCTTCGATTTCGGAGAAATAGACTTCTGTTTTACTCCCACACAACACATTATTTATGCTTCCTAATACAGAAATTCTTTAGACATAGCCATTTTCAACTAATAAAGATAAACAGTCAGGTTCTTCTTATAAACCTATATATCATATACGTGCGCAACTGCTTGTGTGATTTCATTAATTTGCATAAAAACAGTTTTGTGCTTAAACTTTTGACACAGCAATTTTCGTTCCATTCTTAAAATTTCTGATTAAACATAAAGTTTTAAAGTAAATAAAATTTTATATGATTTTAAAATTGCAATTTTGCATACACATAAACGGCATATTGAAATAAAATGGGTATTTGAAGTTTTATTTTAAAATTATTGTTTTGACACGCATTGTAATTAGTTGGGAAGAAAAGAAATTCAGAAATGAAAAAAAATGCTTTTAACATTACGAAAAATACAAGTAATTTGTTCTCTAGAAATTTCAAAACCCTAAATTATTTGAACAGCATTTTTTGAAAAAGAGTGAGTGCAAATTAGACATTTTAAAAACTTCTAAATCTGAACTTATTTTAACTGCAAATACGCAATAAAAATAAGAATAAAGTATTTTTAATTCTGAAGCATTTTTTTCCTTTTAGCCAGCTTATTGACGGTTTGCGCGATTATGGTGAGCCTGTTAACAAATCTATTAAGCTTAACCATAAATGTTTCTTCTAGGATACACAGTGTCCTCATTGTAGAGATGGAAGTGAGCAAGGTTTGAACAGCGAACCTGGGAGAATTGCAACACAATCCTTCTAGGGGTTGGAGAGCGTTAGCGAGCAAGGGCAGAGCCCACTGGTTTCTTTTATTTTAATTATTTTCTATTTTATTACTCTTCGATCTATAATAATTATCTACATAATTGAAACAGGAACGTTAATTTTTTGCACGATATAGAAATATAAACTACTGAAAAGATTTTCTTCCGTCAAATGGAGTAGGAAACGTGTTTCATCGGAGAAGATAACCTTTTGCCAGTCATTAGAAGTCCAGTCCTGGTACAAAAATGCAAATATCTGCCTTTTTTATCAATAAAATGCATATCCATCCATCTGCTATGCAGCAAGGTTCGCCGATCCATCATTTTCGGCACACTTCTAGTACCACTCTGGTTGATTTTGGTCAACAATTGCTTCACTATAACGTTTCGTTTGGCCGAATGCATCGTCGCTACCATCGATCATTTATCTGACCTGTAGTTGATAGTGTTCCTCAATATCGTATTCGCTTGTTCATGCTGGTGCCATTTTGGCATTCTAGGTACACTTTGACAACGGCGAACACACGAACAGTTTACAAACTGTGCAGTTTCAAAAAATTTGTTATTTTTGGTCCGGGAACCAATAATCATACTTTTTGTCACTCCGACAAATTGTTCCGATTATTTATTACGACAGCGACAGATGTGATGTTTCCCGAATACCCACATAATACTCAAATATCCACCAAACCTTCTGGTGCCTTCGGATATTGACTACGCAAAGCCAACTGTCGAAACATTGCATTGCACACATCACATTAATGCGATTCAACTGTGTATTTATTGACGTAACTAACTTCTGGGCTAATATAACATCCGAATTCAATGATTATATTATCTTGAATGTGAGTTATTGG